AGAATGTTTTCAGAGAGGTTTTAGTTTTGCGTGAACCCTATAAATATTACTCTCAATTTTTAGGAATTAGTCAGTTTCTATTAAAGTCATATAAAATTGATACAAAATGTATTTTTTCATGTTTATAAAGATATAAAATAAAAAAAAAATGTCAGAACTATCTTGGGGGCTCTCTCTTAGAAAAAAAAATTAACACAAACTCATTGAATATTTATAATATCATAACATTTTCTTAAATATTTTTCTGTTAAATCAAGAAATAAATTATATAAGATTTCAGGCTTTTAGCCTTTCCCAGCCCGGTGTGGGCTGCGTCCTATCAAACAAAAATAGATCCTAAATTTCCTGATGAACCAAGGTGAAGTTTTTATGACTAATGTCCCTCAAATTGGTATTGAAAAACTATTCAAACATTTCAAAATTTTAAATTTATAAATAAATATTTTTCATATCCAAGATATTAGGGCTTTGTCAAATCTCTTAACCAAAGTTAAAAAACAAACAAAATATAAACGCTAGAGTGCCCATCTAGTAGGAGCTTTGAATTGGCTATGAAAAGAGGAGTGTGATAGAGATTTAATCAAATGACAAAATACGCTATGGAACAATGGATCAAGTCATTCTTTGAAATATATTCGCGACGCATTTATTTTAATTGTTTCAAACAATAAAGAAGGCACTATCATTGATAAATTTTTTAAAATTTTAAAAGTAAAAAAAAAAGAGTAAAAATAACCAACAAACTCTATTTATAGAAGCCACTTTCTGTATTTGTTAAATATATATTTACACTCCTTTTCATATAAAGTTATTTTTTCTTGCTTCAGGAATTTTTTGATTATCAAATTATGTTTATTTTTTAAATTATATTATTAGTTGATTAACCTTTATAACAAACAAATGTTGAAAAGGGGGAAGAACATCCAAAAACATGTCGAAGAAGTAAATATTTTATAAATCTTACATGGTGATGCTTCTCGTGATGATGATCATCTCCGTGGTAACCAAGGGCAACTACCGCCATCATCAGGCACAAAGCAAGGCTCGTCTGCCACACAATCTGTTTTTCAGAAAGAACAGTGAAATATTGTATTATAGATTGAATTTGCCCAGACAGCATACATATTTGCGATTAAACATATATCAGACTGATACAATTCTTCATTTTCTTTTAGAATTAATCTGGATGAGGTGGCACATTTTATGGAATATTCAGATTATTTAACAATAGTGTTTCCCTAATATCAATATTTATTGTATTTTACTTTTAGTTTAAAATTTAAAAATATATTCAACTGAACAATATTTTAGGGATTTTGCTAAACAAATAACAATTGATATATTGATAAACTTACAGTCTGTTAAACGATGTTATTGTCCAAAAGTTTGCTAAACATATAGCAAATAATATAACATATAACATATGAGCAAATATTTGAATGTAATTCTACTGTCCTATAAGCTTATGTCCATAGTTTACTCGAAAACCATTTCTAAGATTCCATCCTTCAGTGTAGCATATAAAAGCAGAATGATCCAATACAGTATTAGAGCTCTGAGAAGCGGTCTGGTGGATTAAATTGGCGAAACCGCTGGGAGGGTTCACCACTGATGAGCCAAGCCCTCCCAATATATTTTTTCATCGCAGTAAGGACAGTAGAAGTTCGTTTATGTATAAAAAAAACATTCTCGCTTTTAAATCCTTTTATTTTATATGTATAGATGGCGCGTTATTGCTTTGTGTTAATATATTTTTTTAATAAATAAACTCTACGCTGTATTATCTTTTATCTCTTCTCTGCAATGATATCCGACGAGTTTTCCTATTGTAATTGAAATAAATTCAATTTTCTTGTGTTGGCTGACGAAACAAGGCAGGAAACCACCGATCTAACCAAGGAGGTAGCTAGCTATGAACTTACCAGAGAGGACATGGCTGTATTCCTACGGTCCAGGACGGCAGTGGAGTGTCCTGGCACGCTCCGTAGTTCTTATATACCCACCCGTCCATGGACCGATTGTATAACCTCTCAGTTTCAATTTTAGCGTGGCGAAAGTGCGCCAATTTTTTCCATCACACTGAATTCCTCTACACCTTCATGGTTAGTTTCCTTTGTAAGTTTTCTTCAGTGAATATTTTTGGTATCTCACTTATAAAAATCGATATTAACATATATCAAAGTATAAATATCAGAATTCCGTGTATACATTTCTTTCAATTTGATGATAGATTCGTTGCTTAACTTGAGTTAATAGGCCAATGAAATAATCACTTGTTTCAATAGTAATATGTGTATATAAGTCTCCAGGGATATGTTTCTATTAAATTATTAAAATATATTAATGTTTTATTATTACACTGAGTATTAACGTTATTGGAGATTATAGAATATTTTATGTGTTGTTGTTTAGAAGAGACATTGGATCTCTAACATATAGAAGAAAGAATAGCGAGAATCTAGTTGTTTATTTCAATGTCGAATTGTATGCATGGGAACAGCAGTTTTTCATCCCAGTTTAACCTAGTTCACGTTTTCTGTACATGCTCAACATGTTGATTAGTGTTCTGTTTAAACGTTCTGTTAATTCATTTGTGTGCTGGTGGTAGCTGGTAGTGAAGCAGTGTTTTGCTTTGCAAATTCCAATGATTTCCTTCAGGAGGTTTCTTGTGAACTGTGAACCTCTATAGCTCATTAGATAACGAGGGTCTACATGGTTAAAAAAAACCCTTCCACAGGATATTTTGCGCCTTCTATTGCGGTGGGATAATATTTTTAGGAACTGAGTTCATGCCAATATCAAGTTTTGAAAATATGAATACACATTTCATATATGCGCGTAATAAGGATGTAAAATATAGTAGTGATTATTTTCTTAAGCTGCGTTTATGCTTATTTAGATTCTTTTTTTAACCTATTTAGGTGTTTTGATTATTGGATTTTGAATGTAAAAATAATTTATATATTAATATCAATATTTCTGATAATATGGGTGTCTATTGATGATGACCAGTTAAGTATTTTTTTATATTAAAAGAGAAAGAGAATGGATTTTTTCATAAACTCAAACAAAATTCAAGGCAGTTTCATATTTTGATGTCGCATGTCTTCTATTTTTTAAAAAGAAGACAGGGGAAATTTTGTTCACACTTGGTTATCTCGTGTGTTTTTCCAATAGAGGTCACTGTATTATCTCTCAGAGTTATTGTCTGAATCCCGATATACATGCTGAAAGTACAACTTCCCTCAGTTTTGTCTATATGTGTATATTCTATCTGTTTTTGCAATTCTGGGATACGATTGTATATTATTGAATGAGAAACTAGCAGCGAAAAATGAATGTTATGGTGCTTGACCAAAACGGCAAGATATTTTATGAATTAAATTAGGTTTATGTTCAAATTTTGTGAATTTGTTATTTGATGGCGGAGTAAGTCTTTAAGATTTCGTTTAGATTTGTAACGAGTGGAGACATTCCAGCTTTCTAATCATCCAGTTCCTTCGTTCCAATGATTGCAAGGTGGAAGTCAGTGTTAGAGAGAGAGTGTAGTCACATAAAAAGAATTAGCTAAAGAAAATACTTGAATATTTGTTGATTTTTTAGAATATAATAAAGATAAATGAATATTTTATAATATTCTTATATCAATTTCAAAAATGACACTGAATATTTTTATTTCCTCTTCTAACGTGTATGTTTGTAAAACTTTATTTACACATTGTAGGCTAGAGGCAATATCATCATTGTAAGTTATAAAAATACGCATCGCTAATATAAAGCTTAAAACCTTTGTATTTCTAATATAAAAAGCATTCAAATAAACATTTGGAGAAATATAAAGAGAAGAGTCCCCATGAAGAGATCTTGGTTAGTAATAGTATAAATTATTGTAAATGATATGAAACTCTGCGGTAGTTTAAGTGTGTTTGGGCAAATTTTACCTAATATCATGGACAAAACTTAAGGAAGTGGTAATTCTTTGATGCTATTGGACTTATTTTTGTTTTTTAAGGCGACAAAGACAATTTTGTACACACTTGGTTATGTCATATGTGTTCAATAAAGGTCACTGTGTATCAAATATCTTCTAGAACTAATGTCTGAATCCCGATATACATGCTTTAGCAGATACAACTTTTTTGAGATTTGTTTATGAGGAGAAAAGGATGACCTTTGTAAATATTGTAAAATTTATGCTAGGATGGAATACAAGGAATTTTGGATGGCTGAGAATGCTTCTTGATGAAAGATAGAAATAACTAGAAATTTTCTTATCAAATTTTAAAAATTTTAAATTTCACGTCAAAGGACAACATGCGTTTAATACTTGGAAAAACTTTGATGAAGGAGGTAAATATGCCAAAGCGATAAATAAGTAATTGTCGACTTTTTTCTGAATCATATTTCCTACTTTCTTGACGAATTGAGTGAGATTGTATAATTCAGATTCTTATTTATCCTAAATGCATTCACATCATTCAATTTTGGCCTTCATTTACCTCTCTGTTGATGAATGTGGCATCATACGAGGATATATTTTATAGACTTTAAATATTTGTGAAAATAGAATTCAAACCAATAGAGCTTATTATTCTACATTCGGCTGGCATTTCATGGTTATTCGAAGATTATTTTAAATTAATTTTTAAAACAGAGCAACATTTCTAATTGACACAGCTGTGGATGGCAAGCCCGATCTTAGGTCATCAATCGAAAACCGCTTTTCCCCTTATATATTTGGTAAATATTAAAGAATATTGGTAAAATAGTAAATAAGTGAAATAGTACTGGAATCAGGCGGAAAAATCAAGAAAAAGGCATCTCTTGATCTTGAAACTAAAACTTGCTAATGTCTTTCGCCATATTTATTCCGACAAATCTACTTATATAATTGCCTTATTCTGTCTGTGTGAAGTTCACTGTCTGAAGTTCACGGATAGATTTTGGTCAGAGTCATCAATTCTGTCATCGTTTTAAAAAATTAAAATATTAAAAAAAGATGCCGAAACCCGTGATCGAACCAGAGACCTTTAGATCTTCAGTCTAACGCTCTCCCAACTGAGCTATTTCGGCTTATTTTATTCATTTCTATAGAAGCTTCTATCTTTATAATTATGTATATTTTCACATTATTATTCACACCTCTTCGCTGGAGACCATGGGAATACTGACTAATTCATTATGCTAACATAATCATCATCATCTACTTATATAATTGCCTTATTCTGTCTGTGTGAAGTTCACTGTGTGAAGTTCGCGGATAGATTTTGGTCAGAATGGATAAAATAAAAAAAGTGTCAAGGGATGGGAATCTAACCCACGACCTTCCGCTTACTGGGCAGATGCCATGACCACTAGGCTACCCTGGACATATTTTTCCGTTCATAAAGTTAATATATGATGCCAATATATATAATAATTGTATAAACGAATGCAAGACAAAATCACCGCGAATGTTTCTTTTTTTAAGGCAATTTTTGTTTCGATTTTATTGAAAAAAAAAAAACGATATGGTGCCTTTAAAAAATGATCTTTATTACTATGCAGTTTTATATTTAGTCAATATACCTAAGTTCATGTTGCAAATGTAATTACCTCTATCGATTTAGTAGGTGAAATGCAAAAAAAAATCGACATGATGAAATCTTTATGAAAATTCACATTTTTATTTTTATATTTTCAAGACACACACAGTTTGGGGCGGGACGTTTCACAAGAGAGACATCCACGGCGCCAATTTATAATTGTAGCGAATAGTATTTTAATTCAAACATTTTAAAAACACAAAGTTTGGAACGGGACGTTTCAAAAGAGTGACATCCATGGCGCCAATTTATAATTGTAACGAATAGTATTTGAATTAAAACGTTTTTAAAATATATACGCACTCGGGTAAAACCCGGGCGTTGCCCGGGACATTCGTCTAGTGGCACAATAACCGATTAAGAAATTCCTTTTATCTTTATTTAATAATTGTTGCTCTTGAAGGAGCAATTTTCAAGTAATTTTACATCAAACAATTGAAAGAAACTTTAAAGTTCAAGCTTCTTTTATCTATTATTTTTTGACAGAACAGTGTTCTTTTTCGCCAGATTTCCAGCATATATAGTGGGATAAACAAACGTTTCCTATTACTTAGCCAGGACTGGTATATGTCTTTATAGCTTTAACACCATCCATTGTTCTCACTCAACTATACCATTTCATTTATCTCACATGATTAATTGCAATATCAACCCGGGTATCTACTGGAATGTGTAAGCACTCAGCATATTATTATATCTGTAGCAATTACAGAAAAAAATCATATTTTGGAAGGTGAAGAAGATTTAATTAATCTATTGTGGATCTCTAAGGTGAAATCTAAGCAAGTGTTGGACAGACAAGCATCATCGTCTGACCCATCATGGTCTCTAGTTGGTTGTTTGGAAATTTCCAAGTTGGTTTTCTGGCATTGTGATCGATTCAAATATTATAGATTACAGAAATTATTTAATAGATTGGTCATTTTTTGTATATATTTTGACGTGAAGGTATAGTTCTATTTTTTAAAGATCAATATCCTCCAATGACAAAATATTATCATGGACAGAACTTCAGGAATTTCAATATTTTTATATCGCCAGTCGACCTTTTTTTTTTTTTTGAAGGAGACAAAGGTTGTTCACACTTGGTTATCTTGTGTGTCTTCAATAAAGGTCACAGTAATATCTTTCAGAGTTATTGTCTGAATCCTGATATACATGCTAAATGGTACAACTTTCTTAAGTTTTGTCCATGAGTGTATTTACATTTAAGCATATTAATATTGCCTTTTTTCCCCTTTGAAGTATTTTAAAATCAAATTTTCGAGAAATTTCTACATTGACCTATAAACAGTAAGTGAATAAATGATTTATTTTGAGCCAATTTTAAGCGTTATTTCTCTCCTTTAAGTCTTTCATGTTTTGAACAAAATCATTTTATCTCTAAATAAACTGAGGTAAAGAACACCTTTATGTATTAAAAATAAAAATAGCATTTTCTGACCAGCAGCACATGGGGTTTACAGAAGGCAGAACGCCATCTGGTGGAACAGAAATCAACTAAACATTGATTTAGCCTGTTCCCTGATATGATATGACTTTTATATATAACTCTTGCTATATAATGAATAGTTCATTTTACATCTTAGCAAATGTTATGATGAATTTGTTCAAAGAAACAAAAATATTTTACAATGAAATTATAATTTTATTATATCACATTTCTATAAATAAATATAAAAATATACAATTTGAGTATATATTACAAATATAAATATACATTTCAAGAATATATTACAAACATAAATATATAAATTTACATAATATATTAAATATTTATTTATAAATAATGCTTATAACCAATAATGCCTTATCACTCTGATAGAAATTGAAGAGACCAGAAAAATAGAAGAAAAATGGGACAAGAAAAAAGGCCCACCACCTTTGTACTTATAAAGGCTCTGTCATATCTGAAAATATAAAACTTTAAAAGTTAAAGTTGATCCCAAAACCTCATTTTTATCAAAAAATTATTTTTGAAATCGAATTTCTTTGGTAAAATTTGAATCCTAAGTGGTTTCAAAAATAAGGTTATCAAATTCCAAGCCCCTATTTACATTTATTTAAAGAAAAATAAAATTGATTAAAATATTATTTTATTGAAATTATAGCATTACTCTCTAGCAACCTTTAAACAAACCTTAGATTGTATTACTAGAAGAAATCATTATCGAAGGTGAGCAATAAATTAACCCGACATTTATTATGAAAATTTCCTAATTTAAATAGAAAGGTTTTTTAATCCCATTTTCATAAAGATTTTAATAAAGTAAATTTTTGATATTAACATAGAGAGTACATAATTACTTAAGAAATTGTTTTAAAATGTAAAAATCTGATTTTCCTAAATAAATTAGCCACATATCATTGAAAGTCCATAGTACCCAAGTTCCTTATATATCCTCATGGATGTTTAGTGATGATAGCCATGCATATCCTCCCCGTGGTATCCATGGTGACCACCCTCGCCATGATAACCATGGTGACCACCCTCGCCATGGTAGCCATGATGACCACCCTCGCCCTGGTATCCATGGTGACCACCCTCATGCTCGACATGGACAGCGGCAGGGTGCTGGTTAGACGTGCCGGGCTCGTTGGTCTTCACCTTGGCGCGGAAGCCGTGCTCGTCGGCGACGTAGTCCACGTGCCTCTTGTTGCCGTGCTCGTCCACGTAGCCGTAGGAGCCGTGGACCTTGCCGTGGCCGTCCCCGGACTCATGGCGGTAATGGGAGCCGCCGTGGTGGCCCTTGTGGCCAACATTCTCAGCCTTGTACTCGAAGTGGTAGGGATGGGCTTTCTGTGGAACACACATGCAGATCAATTAACCCATCATTAAAGATAGACACTGCTTAATCGCTAGACTCGACATCCAGTATAAGCATTGGCTACATAATAATAAGAAAGGAATATAAGGAATATCACATCATGGATGTCAAAAAATAATAAACACCTTTATCGTATTATTTGAAAGAAAAATTCTTCGAAAGAAAGCTCTTTCCTCTTTCTCTCGATGAAATTTTCTCAAAAATGAAATTTAAAGATAGATGTGTTGAAAAATAGTATTGATAAAAATGATTATAGTAATTGATTAAAAAGTAAAAATGTGAGATAAATTTTGAATACAATTGTAGCAGGAAAGAATTTTTTAGATAAAGAGAAATTAATACTAAGAGAAAACTTATTTAAAACTCCAGTTGAATATAAACAGCTATTGACCAAATTTCCTTTAAGCTGCACGTGATAGAATGGAGTTAGACATCAGGAACTGGTTCGAGGAAGTTTTTAAAGAATGTTACTGGAGGGATCAATGGGGAGAGATAGCGTTAAAATCTTTGTCTCTATTTTATGTTCTTTTCTTTTCAAAAACTAATATTTCCTTTCAACAAAATTCCTCCTGATACATGGAATAGGATAAATAACACGATAAGAATACAACATTATGTTTCGGGTGGATCTATTATTCTCCATCATCACTAGTAAAGTTTTGTTACTACGAGGGCCATACAATAAATAAGTTTCCCTATTTTTAACAAATAAACAACATTATTTACAATTATGCAGTTATTTTATTTTCAATATACAACTCATAGACTACTTCTCTACATAATCACCATTTCTGTCCAAACATTTTTGGTAATGTTGTAGCAATTTTTTGATACCACTGTTGCACCAAGCCGAGTCCTGTCTTCGTAGCCAGTGGTTCGCCTCCGCCTGCACTTCGTCATCATTCGCAAAGTGCTTGCCTCCAAGGTGAAACTTGAGTGCTAGAAAAAGATGGAAGTCGCTTGGGTCAAGTTCCCATTGTCCTGATGCCTAATTGAAGGGAGAGATACCTCTCTTTAGATGCCAAGATAATAGAATTATCATCAACTTATTACCCTCTTTCACTTTAAATTAGAAATATATTTTGCGATCCATTTCTTATAACATATATAATCAAAATATTTTTTTCTACAACACTTATACTGTTGTAATCAGAACTGCTGAACTATTGGAGGGTTCACCACTGATGAGCCATTACTTCAACTCTTTCAATTTTAATCATAACAGTATAAGGGGGCTGTGGAAAAAGATTTTGATTATATGTTTAAAAAATAGCGCTTAAAGTATAATCTTAATTTTCCATGATAAGAATTTTATTATGGTATTCCACTACAGTCTTGTCTTCCAATTTTTACCAATACTGGTATTATAAATGTCATCTTTCAAATTTTGTATTTTGGTGTATTCTTCTAGTCATTCCTGACTATATTTATTCAGAAATAAGTATATACATATTAGAATTGATAAAAGCGCTTTAATCAATTATAGTGAAAAATATTCCTAGAGTAAAAACTGCCAACTAGATCTATTGAATCTAGATGCTTACTTTCAATTAAAGAAATAAAAATTGTACTCATTTTCATCTCTTTTTTTTTTTCATGGCATTAGGAATTAAACTTTACGAATATTCAATGGTATATACTCGACATACTAAATTTAATA